CAAAGCAATGTTGAGCAATAACATGAGCTCCTTGAGTTTATCCATATTCAAGCAAATTAAAGGCAAAACAAACAGTATGCATAAATTGGTCTGAGAATTAAATAGGGTATTTAGGTTATATTTATAGGCCTCCAATGGTCAAAAGGGTAATAACACTTCACCAAATTTTTGCTTGACCGCCATCTTATTATATGAGGAATTAACAGACTTCCGTTCATACAATAATGTTTTCAATTTCAACTGTGATGATGTCATGATTAATATTAACGTGCTCCATTAATAATTGGAAAAATTATAAGCAGACAGCGTGAAAAGGAAGCCATTCTCGTTTATCTCTGTGGTCTGTGCTAATACATGTATTTATAACTTAACTACTCCCTTCCATCTTACTTATAACTGATCAAATCATGTAGATTAAAATATTGACTAAATTTAGTTAAAAACAACAAATAAGTTAGAAACATAATTCATTTTTCAAATATACCTTTATTTACAAAGAGAATAAGTGAAAGATGTAACACTCCGAATTTTCTGATTCAGGATGAGCAGAAAAGAGAAAGTTCATTAAAATTATTTAATAGCTCAATCACAATTAGGAAAAATTATGGAATATTGATTTTTCAAGGTTTAGAAATATTTTGGAAAAGTTCATTCCCCAAAAAGTGGCTTAAATGATTTTAATGCTATTTTCATAGCAAAATGAGTTATTTTCTTAGAAAATACTTAGAGGTTTCTAATTAACTAGAAAATTTTAGGGAAATTATCTTATGAGGTAGAGAATTTATTTGAGGCATAAAATCCTTAAAATGGGTTAAGGATTAATTTTTGGATTTAAGGGCTATTTTCTTCCCCAATTCAAGAAAAATAGGTAGGAGATGATTTTTGACCCGAACTTTTTATGGACATTATTTCATGGGTCAAAGAAGCTAATGGATAAGAAAGATCCATATAAAACATGATGGAAATAGAGAAAGGGATGAAATTGGAACAAGGGGAGGAAATGAAGGGGCATAGCGGTCATTGAGCTACACCGTTTCCCTCTCACGTGCCACTTCCCTTTTAACCATCAGATCAGTTATCCACCTCCTTCAATTCATTTCTGCCTTCCGTAGAGAATAGAGAGAGAGCGCGAGGAGAGTTAAGAGACACAGAGACGGCGATGGAGGAGGACGAAGGCAAAGGTCGTGATCGGAGGTGCTTGGGTCACATGCAAACCGATTAACTTTGCAAGGTGAGCCTCCTGATCATTCTCCCACCCTTCTCTTTTCTGTTTTCTGCGTGGTCTGGGCGCTGATGGAGGAGAGAGAGATGGGTTTTAGAGAGAGAAAGTAAAGGAAAGATGAAGAGAACCGGTGAACTATTATTCCATGAGAAGACTGAAGTTGGTAGGAGAAGTTTTTGAGCTTGCATGTCCCTTTAATTTCTTTGCCTCTGCATTCCTATCCCGTTTGTGTGTGTGAGTTCCCTGATCATCATCCTACTCTTTTTCCTTCGGTTTGTTGGGTGTTTGAAGAGCTAATGATGAAAGAATTTGGATTTTAGTGAGAAGAACTTCCGGTTTAAGTTGAAACTTGATGATGATGAGAAATGTTGGTTGATGACGGTGTAAGATTTTTAGCTTGCATGTAAGTTTTGGTGGATGAACGTTATTCTTTTACCTCTGTTTATGTTGACCGAAACAGGGTTTAAATGGAGGAGAAGGACGTTTCTTTTATATATATATATGCAAGTGCCGTGGGATCCTGAAGGTGCTTGTGTGTGCTGTGTTTCTAAGCTTTGGGTATGTGTCGGCTTCAGTAGTTGAAGGCACAAAATGAAAAGTATAAGCGTGAAGTGGGTTGCTTGTGTGACTGGTTGCATGTGTTGTTTCCTGTGTTCATTGCTGTCCGAGTAGGGGAGTGGGTTGCTGGTTTAAGATGAAAATGGGTTGTGTTGATGGAGTGTGTTAAATGGTTTGCATGTGGGATTTTTACTCTGTTTTGATTTGATTGAAACAGAGATTATACAGCTCATGAAGAAGAATCAGATTTGTGCTTGTAATGAGAAAGATTTCGGTTTGGTTATACTGAGTGTTAGTCGAAAGCAAAAACAAGCTTGAGAACATAGTTTAATGGGTAGAAAGAATACTATATGAGTAGGAGATGAGTGGTTTCGATTTATAGGACCAGAAAGAGCAAAACATGTTTTAGATAAATGTGATACATATATATAATTATGTATATGTGCGTCTCGGTCATGGTTGTAGGAACTGAATTTGTATAGTGAATGGTTTGGGATATGGAAGTAGAAAAATTTTAGTTTGAGGAAAATTTCCAGATTTGTCATCTAGGAGCAATTGGAGTGCTTGGGTTTATATATGTATGTATGCTTGTTACCGCGCTGTAAGAATCAAGGATGATATTTTGTGTGTGTGTGTGTGTGTGTGTACACGCCGTGAAGCTCAATGTTGGAGCTTGAATATTGAACAATTAACTCAATGGGTATATATAGGTGTACAACTGTCTAGGATACTGTGAACTTATTTATTGAATTTTGGAACTGGAAATTGATCCAGAAGTTACTACTTTATGTGGTTAAGCTAAAAGTTAAATTGGGTAACTGTCCTAAGAGGGAATATAATCAACAATTGCCAGAGAATAATCTAGGGTGAGTTTGAAATCTGGGAAATTTCCAGATTTGAAGTAGAAGCATTCAAAAGTTGACTTTGATATTGACGTAGGTATGAAATAATTTTCAGAATTAAGGAGAAGGGTCCTTGTGTACTAAGATGGTGGTTAATGTAAGAAATTGCTAAGTAGAAGGAATGGAAGAGATTGTATTGAATTAAGAGTAGAGGAAATTGAATGATAAGATTATTGTTAATTATTGGAAAAGCATGGAGAAAGTTCATACATTGAAATTTTGGGGCTTGGCCGAAGGATTTACGAATTGCACTTAAATATGAGAAGTAGTTGGGGTTGTAAGATGAATGGTGAAGAATGAAGGGATTGATTGAATATAATGAAATTTTAGGGATTTAATGATTGAGTTTTAGAATTTATTTAGAAAATTGTTTGAGAAATGTTAATCCTGAAGCTATAAATGCTTTATTGTTTGAGGTCTACACATAGAATAAATAGTGACCGTTATAGTTGAAGATTGACTATATTAAGTTTTAAAGAATAGTCTTGAAGTCACGAATAATTCCCAGATTATGAAAGGTTATTGGAGGAATGTTAGGCCAAAGATTAAGATTAATAAATGGTTTGAAATTGAAATTGAAATTGCTTGGCTTGGAAATAAGATGAAATCAATTTGTCTGTCTCGGCCATGGGTGAAAATTAGTGAAGTTGGATTTTAATTAATTTTACTTCATTGGGATTGGATGATTGAGGTATGAAGGGCACCTTGTTGTCCTTAAAAGTGATATATATATATATATATATATATGTATATGTATATGTATATAATCTTTGACTGAGATGACCAGTTACTAAGTAAAGTAACACTATGGGTTGAGATAAGAGAGCAAGCGTTCCAAAGAGAATGGTTTAAACAAGAAAAATTGTCCAGGATGACCGGTTACTATGAAAGGGTAGAGATTAAAGAAGATTTGAGATTTAAAGAGTTACTTAATTTATGAGATACAGTTGGATCAAGTATTGATCTCCCTTTACCAATATGATAGGTCTATATATCTGCTTAAGCCCACCAAGAAGCAGAAAGAAATGAGAACGGTAAGGTTTGATTTGGAGCGAAGCGGCCCAGGTAGTAGTTGTTTCCTACCTTACACTTGTGTATGATTGCTGCATGTTTGTTTGTGCCATATTGCTTTTCTAAAGCATGAGAACATGTAATCCTTAATTCCTTGCATGGATTATTTAGCCGTGATCACGTGTAGCTGATAGACATGGGGTAGTGATTGCCAATTATTTGCGCATTATTTATTCAGCTTGTCTATCTGTCATTGCGCATAAATGCTTAATTGCATTAGCTTGCAAGGTTATGTTCCACTTTGGCTTGTTTTGCATGCTTTATGTAATCTGCATATTTGTTTGATGGAAATTACTACTACGGGGATTCTTTAGAATCTCACCCTCCAATTTATGATGAACAGTGAAAGCTAGTAGCCCGAAGGACAAGGAGGTTGTTTAAGAAGAAGGTGGGCTGGTTGAAGAGCAGAGATACCTGTTATAATTCTGTTAATTGTATAGCAAAATATATGGGCAAGTAACTTTACTTGCTCTATGGAAATATTATTTTGTATCCTCTAGAAGAAGGAGGTGAGCATTGCCAGGTGCACGTATATGCTGTCAACCAAGAGCGTTGCTTTATTCTTAATATAATATTATAAGATTGTATAGTATGAAATTATTTTAGGTGATAATAGATTAAGTTGAAAGCAGAGTTGATATTGGATCACTCATCAGTTATCTGAAGGTTTGAAATATTTGATCAACGGATTCCAATGTTAAAGGGAAAAAAAAATTCCCTGTCTTTTCCCAGGACGGAAACCTGGCGTTAGTAATTCACAGACGTTAAATGATCCTATTAGTATATAAAAGTGAGGTGTTGCAAAAGAGGTAGTGTGATAATTGTAATATCCCAAATTTTATGGATTTGAGTAAAGCATGATGAAGGAGAAATTTTTAGAGAAATTGTTGAGATTAAGACCCTTAAAATATGGTTTGAATAATTATAAAGTTAATTTCAAGAATTTAGGACATATTTTCTTGGAATATTCAAGAAAAATAGTTAGAGGCTAATTTTTGAGGTGAGATTTTTAGGATAATTGTTTTATGGACTAAAGAAGCTAATAGAAGAAGAAAATTCATATAAAATATCCATGTTTGATTTCTGGAATTATTTGATTATCCAAGAAAAATAGAGAAGGATCCATTTGAACGGAAAATGAAGACCAAAGGGTATAATAGTCATTCCACACCCCTTACCGACATATTCTACCCTAATATCTTCTCCCTTCTTACTTTCCTCTGCCATTCGAAGTGCAAACAGAGGGAGAGCTGGGAGAGTTTGAGAAAGATCAAGAAAGGGAAAGGCTAGTAGAGGAGAGAATCAGTTCATCTAAAAGTGGAAATCAAACAAGGTGAGTCTCCTGAATCTTCTTCCGTCTTGATTTTCTGTTATTTGGTCATGTGTTGCAAGACGATGATGAAGATGAAATCTGGTTTTTGAGGGAGAAAGTGAACAGCACGACAGTCAAGCTGTAGAAACGTGCTTAATGGTTAGGATGAAGTTTGTGGTTGAGATTTCTGCACTTGCTTTTCACGGTTGATTGCTCTGGTTAAAGTTTCTGAAACAGGGGTTTGAGTATTTAAGGAAATGGCTTCTGGTTTGGGTAATAGATGATTAACAAGTCTAAATATAATTAAGTATTTTCTGGTTGTATGATTATAATATGTTGATTTTATATGCTGTGTGGTTATTGAGGGATCGAGGAGTGCGTGCTTTGAATAAGAAAAATTTCAGACTTAAGGAGGGAAGGATGCTGTTCGATTTTGCTGGTCAAGAAGCATTTGAATGCTAAAACGAAACGCATGAGCTGTAAATATATATATATATATATATATATATATATAGGACCAAGCCTTTTGAGACGGAGCATTGGGAGAAAGAGTTGGGCTGATTCTAATTTAATGATATTCTCGAAGACATGTTCCGACCCAACATCCCAAATGTTTATGTTGATACGTGGCCTCCATTCTTGAAAGGCAAATGGAAAGAGATAGTATAAAATAGTGCTATATAATATTTTGGGGTGAAGGCCGTATGGTCTAATGGAAGAAGGAGCTATTATTTGTTTGGGTTAAAAACCGCTGGATAGGAAAGGAGCAAAATGAGTTTGAATATTTGAATGCTACATGGATTGGAAAGTGATTGTTCTTTAAATCTGGAATTTAATAAAAGGAGGAATTGTTGAATTTGAGAACCAAAATCTGATTCGAAGTTTATTGGGTTGTTGATTTATTTTTGAAGCCTAAGAATAAATGATCTATATATATATAAATATTAATTTGCCCTTACCTATATAATTTATAGGATTTAATATTTGTTCAAGTCCATTAAGAAGGGAGCCAAGGAAGAAGCAAGGGGAAGTTAGTACGGAAGAAAAAGCAAAAGGTAGTAACTTTTTTCCTTTAATGTGATTGTGCATTGATTGCCACATGCTTGGATGTGCCTTTATGCTGATTATGCATGAGAACATGTAAGTTGCCTTTGCATAATAATATTTGTCATGACAATATGCGCTGGTTTCCATTTATTTTGGAATGTGGGCGCGATAGATAGTGATTAGCTATATGGGTGTATGGTGTATATGCATCATTGATTATACTTGGATGCAAGGTGTTGTTCTCTTTGGCCTGTGTAGCATATTGTTTGTGATCTTGTATGATTACGTGAGGGAAATTTGTTACTACTGGGATTCTTTAGAATCTCACTCCTTCCATGTAATACAGCAAGAGCAAGTACTCCTAAGGGCAAGGGAGTAGTGATTGGTGGAGTTTAAAGGTGCAGGAAGCTGGCGATCATTTGTACATATATATTTTGCTTAAAATGCGTCTTATTTTGGAGTAAAGATATATATTGTATATCTATTTTGGTATGTAAATATTCCTCCATAAGGAGATGACTAAGGGCAGATAGATCATAATAACTGCTATTGAAGGAAATGGTCAAATTTTTTTGATATAGTTATTATTTGGCCTAAAATTATGTGTATCTAATTACGTATCTCGTCGTGTGAGCCAATGGCCAGGGTGTCAAATGTTAAACCCTATTGGCGATAGTTGACTTAATTCAGATTCGAAGGGCCGGATGGAAATAAAAATATATATATAATTCCCAGGATGAAACCTGGCTTTTAATGAATCATGATTAAATAGAATAATTCTACTAGTATATAAGGGATAGGTATTACAATAATTATTGTAAAAATATATATTTAATGAGGATAAAAATGAATAGAGTAGTTTAAAATTTTAGACAAAAAATATTACTTATAATTGGGACTAATCCTATGTGAGATAATGTGTAATGTTGTTTATGTATGGAATGAGAGGAGTAATACTAATACATACTCTTCTAATCCTATTTTAAGTTACTTCTAACATGTTTTATATAGATTGAAAAAAAATCTTAAAATTCATTAATTCTTCTTTAAAATTAAGAGATTTTTTAACTTTATTCATATTTAATATACATTATACTCCATAAGGATAAAGTTAATACCATGGAAGAAAAAACCGGACCGGACCGGCCGGTTCAACCGGAAAAACCGGTGAACCGGTGTGTTGTAATGTCCGGTCTGGTTTACTAGATGAACCGGGCAATGTTTAAACCGGTATTGAACCGGTTAAATCGGTCCAAACCGGTGTTAAACCGTGTAAACCGCCGGTTGGAGTGGGTTAGGCGGTTTAGATTTTTGTCCCTCCCACCGGTGTAAAGCAACACCGCTCTGTCATTGGAAAAAAAAAAAAAGACACAGAAAAACCTAATCTGCCAATCTAATCGTTTTCTGATATGATCTTGAGAAAGAAATGAAAAGAAGAAAGAAGAAAAAAAACTCCATCTAATCAAACTTCGCTGGTGCTTGTGGTCGTTGTTTTCACTCTTCATTTCTTGCTTCATCATCGTCATTCTTACTGCATGGTTGTCGTTGCTGTATCTTCATCTGAATATTCCTCTTCCAAAACGCAGCTTTTTCGTGTTGTTGGAGGAAAGGAGGAAAAGAAAGGAGAAGAAAAAAGAGAGCTTGAAAGTAAGGCAGAAGAGAGTGGAGAAGAGAGGGGAAAAGGAAGCCTCGTGACCAGGAAAACATAATAGTCTGCAGAAGCGGCGAGAGACGAGCAAAATGAAAGTGACATGATTTGATGGATGAGTGTGCAAAGAGGAAAGAAGTATAGAAAAAGTAGAGGCCTCCACGTGATTATGCAAGAGACAAGGAGAGAGAATGAGAATTAAAAATACAATATCAGAAAATAAAAACCAAAAGATAAAATTTAATAGGTCATGAATTTATAAAAATAAAAAGATTAAATACTATTTTTTTTCATAATTAGAATAGGAATTTTTTTATATATTTTAATTATTACCGGTTTAACCCGGTCTAACCCCGATCTGACCCATTAACCCTTGAACCAGTACATCAACCGGTTTATTGACCGGTCCGGTTTTTGTTTCCTTGGTTAATACAATAATAAATGAAGGATAAAATCATACATATACATGAAAAATGTCTCTCTCTCTCTCTCCCCTCCTCTCCTTTCCCTATAAATAAGACCGAAAAAATTACTCTCTATTTTTTAACTTATTCCTATTTAATATACATTATATTTTATGAGGATAAAGCTAATATAATAGTAAATGAATGGTAAAATCATACATATACATGGAAATGTCTCTCTTCCCCACTTCCCTTCAAATAGGAACAAAAATTTCTTCTCTTTGTCATATAAATAAGATTAGATGAGTGACAAAGTTTGATTAAGTCAACAAGCCCGAGGCTAAAGTCATACCTGTATGTCCATAGGCTGTTACAATTGGCAGTCATAACCACCACCAACCATTATTTTTGAAATTTTAGCATTAACATTTTGTCAATGACATCAAGTTCCTTAATTTGCTATTGACAACTCATAACCTCCACCAGCCTTTATTAATTAATCACCATAGATCATGGATTGATCAGCGCCAATCGTTGCCAGCTTAGCCACAAGCCGCCTCTCTATATGATCTTCAATTAATTAGTGAACGCAAAACATGTTTTCAAATATATTTTTTTCAGACTAATTGTGTTATTTTTTAAGCATAATTTTTTTAAAAAAATTATTCAAAAGTATTTTTTCCCAAGTTTCTTGTTCCCAAAACTTGTTCTGAAAATAGTTTCAGAAAATTGTTTTGATGAAGCAAAAAACAATAAGCATTATTAACCAAGCCTTGTGTCTACCGTGGTCTTAGTGGGAGGGTAGGCTGTTTAGCATGAAATCTTGAGTTGAAGTTCTTGCCAGCTTCTTTTAGGAAAGTCACTCCTAACTAGATCTGATAATTTGTGTATATATCAACTAAGCCTCGTGTCTTTTGAACATTCAGCTATGAAAATTATTTGATTCAAAAGACGAATAAAGGATGTTAATTGAAGTTAGATCTTTGGATTTTCGTCACTTAGATTAGGCCATATAATTAATGAATGACCAAACTCTGGGAAGAGTTCCTTGAAGATTTTATCTTTGCCCTTCATGTTTAAGTTAGGGTTCCTTGAAGACTTTATCTTTGCCCTTCATGTTTAGGTTGGGGGAAGGTAAGATTCAGGTATGAGATTAAAACGATTTGTTTATTAAACAAATTATTAAGTTGTATAAGAATATTTTCTTTAAATATTTTACGAATTATTCAATGCTGCTCCCCCTAAATTCTTGAATTCCCTTGCGGTTTTCTCTTCAGAAGTCCAATGAGACACTCTCATAGGATTATGTTACCTTCATTTTGTTCTTATTAATTGACTTATTTTCTACTAGAAAATGAATAATCCTTTTAATGATTCATAAATGAAATAATTGCTGTATATAGTATAAAAACTCGAATGAGCTAACCCAACTAGTTTAATTTGCTTAACAATTTATTAAAATATAATTATTAATTGTCGTAATAATATTATTAGAACTTATGAATTTCAGAAATGAAAATGGGAGCTTCAGGCGATTGATAATTGACATGTGGATAGAAGTGCTCAAAATTGGGAATGTTTTACAAATCTATATATATATACTCCTCCGGTCCTAATTATAAGACCTAATTGACTTATTTGAGGAGATTAAGGAAGTAAGTTAAGTTGGTTATTTATAATAAATAAGTGTTGTTATTTCTAAAATATCCTTGCTAATTAAGTATATTGGCTAAAACTATCATTATTAGAAGGATTATCTTGGAAAAAAATGCATAAATATAAGAGAGAAAATGGATTGGGTCTTATAATTAGGACCAAATAAAAAGTCAAATTGGGTCTTATAATAAGGACCAGAGGAGTATTTGTATGTATGTATGTATGTATCAATGGGGAATGTTATGAAAAATTGCACTATTTATAAGTCATAAATAATATTTTCTCTCTTCTTATAAGATATATATATAAGTGAATTACATAGATTACAAAATTGATTAAAGTAGGTCAAAGGCAAGAAATATGTACAAAATATAACTTATTTTACCAAAAACAAATCCTTATTGCTGTAAGACTAACGTTTGGCCAAGAAAAAGTAAGACTAACCAATAATTAACGGGGATAAAAATAGAAAAATGACATTAAAATTTTCATATAATTAAGGGATATGATTTACATCAAATTATGCGTTAATTACACACAAGTCTCACATATTATATGGGATGATCGACATTAATGGAAAATTATGCCATGTTACAGAAATTAAGAATAGATATATCTTTCCCATTGCATTCTTTCCCAATAATATCTGTCGGCCATAAAGTTTCTTTTTGGATTTAACCATGTCAATAATTGCGGCCGCAAGGAATATCAGCAGCGCGGCGAATATTATCTGCGTTATTATTTTATGAGACGGTCAGTCAAAATCCCACAAGCAAATATATACATACACACACTCCTCAGATCTTATTTATAAGGCAGACAAAGAAGGTTTATATTGATCCCATTTATAAGTCATCTCATTTTATTTTTAGCATGAATATACCATTTTGTCATTTATTTATTACAATATAAATAGTTATTTTTTAAAAAGTTTATATACTAATGAAAGGTAAAGTTGAAAAGTTACTATATTTTGAGAGAGAGTTAATGCTATTTATGGTGTTTTCTTAGTCAGTGTAAAGCATGCTGAAAATGTCCAACAAAATGGGATGAGAGGAGTATATAAATGGTTGGGAAAAAAAATGGAGGAGTGGATCAGAAAGGAAAATGAATAATATAATATCTACAATATTTACTTTTTTAAGTGTATATATGAGACGTATCAAAACAATGAAAAAGTAAACAGTGAACACATCCCCAAAAGTGGGGAAAAAAAGAAGCAGAAACTAGTGAAGTATAGTCATGGTGTGAGTATTTTAGTTTTATGTTTTAATTTCAATAAATTAAGAGAGACGGGCAAAAATAAACATAATATTTGAACTAGTATCGCTATAATTTGAAATCATGGTTTTTGGTCCTTAGGTTTAAGTTTAACGGCATTAACTTAACCAAAACTCTTCAAAATTATAGGAATTTATAGACGTTAACATAGATAAAGTCCTTATGAAACTATAAAGACTAAGAATACAGTTTGAAACTACATGAATCAAAATTAAATTTGATGAAACTGTGTGGACAAACAAGAATATTAATCCTATTAAATTTTGTTTTATTGATTGGATTAATTGACTCAGATTGAGAAGCATAGAAGGAAAAGATAAACCATTTTGGTCATGAACTAAAATGATTAAACTCTGCTGGGAATGATTTAAATGTAGAACTAAGATAAATCAATTTGGGAAAAATATATAGTAGTTCCTG